ACTAACAATAAACTATCTGGAAAAAAAAATCAAGAAACAATCCCATTTACAGTAGCTATGAAAGAAGTGAAGAATTTCTTATTTATCTAAGTTTACTAGGAACAAACATAAGTAATGAGGAAAAAGACTTGTACACTAAAAACAACAAAAAATTGATGAAAAAATTAAAGAAAATACAAGCAAATGGAAAGACATCCCATGTTCATGAATTGGAAGATTAAAATGTCCATACTACCCAAAGCAATCTGCATATTCAATGCAATCTATATAAAAATCCCAATGGAAATTTTTTGTGAAAGTAGAAAAAAACCTAAAATTTTAATCTTAAAATTCATATGGAACTGCAAAGGACTCAGAATAGCTAAAACAATCCTGAGAAAGAAAAACAAAGCTGAAGACATCCCACTTCCTGATTTCAGAATATATTACAAAGCTACAGTATTTAAAACAGTGTGGTGCTATCATAAAGACAGACATATAAACAAAATAGAGAGCCCCAAAATAAACCCACACATACACGCTCAACTGACGTTTGACAAGGGTATCAAGAATACACAATGTGGGAAGTATATTCTCTTCAACAAATGATGCTGGCAAAACTGGATATCCACATGCAAAAGAATTAAACTGAACCCTTATCTAACACTATACATAAAAATCAACTCAAAATGGATGAGAAACTTAAGACCTGAAACTGTAAAACTAGTAAAAGAAAATATATTGGAAAATCTCTAGGCCATTGGCAATGACCAATTCTTGGATATAACACTAAAAGCACTGGCAACAAAAGTAAAAGTAGATAAGTAGAACTATATCAAACTAAAAAGCTTCTGCACAGAAAAGGAAATGATTGAAAGAGAAAAAAGGCAACATAGGAAACGAAAGAAAATGTTCTCAAACCATATGTCTGATAAGGGGTTAATCCCCAAAATATATAGGGAACTCCTACAAGTCAATAACACATAATTATTATTATTATTGTCATTGATTAAAAATTGGCAGAGGACTTGAATAGACATTGCTCCAAAGAAGACATACAAATGGCCAGAAGTTACAAGAAAAGCTACTCAACATCACTAATCATCAGGGAAATGAGATATCACAATGAGATATTACTTTGCACCTTTTATGATGGCTATTTTTAAAAAAAAAAAAGACAACGAATATTGGTAAGGATGTGGAGAAATTGAAACTTTGTATACTGTTGGTGGGAATGCAAAATGGTGTGGCAATTATGTAAAACAGTATGAAGATTTCCCAAAAAAGCAAAAATAGAACTACCATATGATTCAGCAATCCCACTACTGGGTATTTATCCAAAAGAGTTGAATTCAAAATCTTGAGCTATTTGTCCTCCCATGTTCATTGCAGCACTATTCATTCTCATTAGCCAAAATATGCAAACAACCTAAACATCCATTGATGGATGAATGAATAAATAAAATGTGGTATGTACATACAATGGAATATTATTCAACCTTAAAAAAGTAGATCCTGCCACATGCAAAAACATGGATGTACCCTGAAGACATTATACTAAGCGAGATAAACTAGTCATGGAAGGGCAAATACTATACAATTCCACATATACGAGGTACCTAAAATAGTCAAACTCATAGAAGCAGAAAGTAGAATGTTGGCTACCAGGGGCTGGGGGGAGGAGAAAATGGAAAGATGTTGGTCAGTTATGTAAGATGAATAAGTTCTAGAGATCTGGTGTATGACGTTGAGCCAATAGTTAACAATACCGAATAGTACACTTAAAAATTTGCCAAGATACAAAATCATATCATCAGTGAAAAGTGATAGTTTGACCTGCTCTTTCCAAATTTGTATACCTTTTATTTCTTTCTCTTGCCTGATTGCTTTTCTAGGACTTCCAGCACTATGTTAAATAGAAGTGGTGACAGTGGGTACCCTTGTCTTGTTCCAGTTCTTAGGGGGAATGCTTTCAACTTTTCCCCATTCAGTATGATATGGACTGTGGGTTTGTCATATACAGCTTTTGTAATTTTGAGATATGCTCACTCTAGCATCTAGAAAACCCCAGAGACTCCTGGAATTGAAAGACAAATTCAGCAAAGTCTCAGGTTACAAAATCAATGTAACACAAATCAGTAGCATTTCTGTATACCAATAACAATCAAGTTGAGAGTCAAATCAAAGACTCAAAACTATCCATAATAGCTACAAAGAAAATAAAATACCTAAGAATATACTTAACCAAGGAGGTGAAAGATCTTTACAAGGAGAACTATGAAACACTGAGGAAAGAAATCACAGATGACACAAATAAATGGAAAAATACATCATGCTCATGGATCAGTAGAATCAATATCGCTAAAATGTACTGCCCAAAGTCAATTACAGATACAATGCAATTCCAATCAAAATATCAATTTCATATTTCACATGCCTAGAAAAAATAATCCCAAGCTTCATTTATAAACAGAAAAGAGCCTCAACAGCCAAAGCAATCTTAAGCAAAAAGAACAAATCTGGAGGCATCACATTACCTGACTTCCAGCTATACTACAAGGTTCTAGGAACCAAAACAGCCTGTGTTGGTACCAACACAGAAACATAGACCAATGGAACTGAATAGAGAACCCAGATATAAAACCATCTACCTACATCCAACTGATCTTTGACAAAGCAGATAACAACCTACACTGGGGAAAAGACTCCCTATTCAGTAAATGGTTCTGGGAAAACTGGATAGCATATGCAGAAGAATGAAACAGGACCCCAATCTCTGACCATATATAAAAATTAATTCAAGATGGGTAAAAGACATAAATGTATGATATGAAATCATAAGAATTCTAGAAGAAAATGTAAAGAAAACACTTCTAGATACCTGTCTAGGTGAAGAATTTATGACTAAGACCTCAATGGCAACTATAGCAACAACAACAACAAAAAATGAATGGGACTTGACTAAATTAAAAAGCTTCTGTACAGCTAAGGAAATAATCAACAGAGCAAATAGGCAACCTACATAATGGGAGAAAATATTCACAAACCACATACCCAATAAAGGCCTAATATCCAATATCTACAAAGAACTTAAACAAACCAGCAAAAAACAAACAAACAACCCCATTAAAAAGTAAGCAAAAGACATGAACAGAAGTTTTTCAAAAGAAGATAGACAAATGGCCAACAAACATATGAAAAAATACTCAACATCACTAATTATCAGCGAAAT